AAATAATGACCAGAGATAAAAAGGAGCACTTCCAAACAAAAAAGGGTCTAATTCACAGGAAAATATAAAAAATTCTAAATTTCTGTGGTGACTGGTAAGAGCTTCGAGAAAAAAAAGCAAAATGGACACAGAATTAAAAGGATAATTAGATAAATCTATAATCATAGTGGGAGATTTTAAAACTTCTCTCTCAGTGATTGATAGAATAGAAAAGAAAAATCAGGACCTAGATTTGAACATAAAATTAACAAACTGAATTTTATTGCATTCAGCAACTGCAGAGTCCATGTATTTTAAAGTTAAAAAGAACATTTATTAAAATTGACCATTTGTTGAGCAATATAGCCTAAGCACATTTGAAGGGATATATAGTATGTTTTCTGATCAGAATGAAATTAAGCTAGAAACTTATACGAGTAAAAAATATACTCAGAAATTTATAAACACATCACCGAATAACTCATAGATTAAAGAAGAAATCGCAATGGAAATTAATAATATAAAAAACTGAATAATAAAAATACAATTTATTAAAATGAGCAATGCAGAGAAATAGTACTCAGAGGTTAATTTCTATGCTAAAAATGAGAAAGCTTGAATGTCAGTGATCTAAGCATCATTTCAGAAGTTAGAAAAAGTACAATAAAATAAACTCCAAAAGGTCAAAGTAGGAAAAAATAAAGATAAAAGTAGAAATTTGAAAAATAACAAATGTATAGTTGAAAAGAATAACAAAGCTAAAATTAAATTGATAAACCTCTGGTGAGACTGAAAAAAAAAGAAAACAAATAATTATTTGTTCTAAACGATTTAAAAAGTTAATAAGAGGTTATTATGTATGACTTTATATCAATAATTTTGAAATTATTTGCAAATGTGATAAAGTTCAGGACTTTGAGATGGAGAGAATATCCTGGATTATCCAGTTGGGCTCAATGTAATGACAAGGGTTCTTAAAAGTGAGAGAGAAAGGAGATGAAGAGGTCAGAATTCCTTAACAATCATTTTAGTTTTTATGTCAGTAGAGATGTCTGCTCTTTCATTCCTGATTTTAGTAATTTGTGTTTTCCTTCCCTTTCGCCCACTCGTGCCTTCTGTCTCTATCTCTCTGTCTCTGTCTCTCTGTCTTTCCCCCGCCCCTAGTATATCTTAAAGTTTCTCAATTTGTTGATCTTTTCAAAGGACCAAGTTTTGTTTTCATTGATTTTTTTCCAACTACTTTTTCCGTTTTCTATTTCATCAGTTTCCACTCTGATCTTAATTCTTTCTTTTCCTCTGCTCGCTTTTGGTTCAGTTCTTATTTTTCTGGTTTCTTAAGATGGAAAGACACCTTTCCATCTTTTTTAATATGGGTGTTTAAATATGTAAATTTGCCTCTAGGCACTGTTAGCTACATCCCATAATTTGGTATCTCAGGTCAAAATATTTTCTAATTTTTATAATTTCTTCTTTGACCCATGGGGTATATGGAAGTATGTTGTTTAATTTCCAAATATTTGTGGATTTCTCATTTTCTTTTGTCATTGATTTCTAATTTAATACCATTGTGTTTAGAGAACATACTTTGCATAATTTCTATCCTGTAAATTTATTGAGACTTGTTTTATGTCCTAACATCTTTTTTATCTGGGAGAATGATACATGTGTGCTTAAAAAGGATGTGTATTCATTCTGCCAATTTTGTATGGACTGTTCCATTGTATTAGGTCAAGCTGGATGATGATATTGATTCTTTTATATCCTTGAATTTTTTGTCTAGTTCTATTTTTTAGAGTGGGTTATTGAAGTATCCAACATTATTGTTGAATTGTCTATTCCTTCAATTCAGTTGTCTAGTTTTGCTTTATATGTTTCGGGCTCTATTGATAAGTATGTGTTTGTTTGCAGTTGTTTTATATTTCTGATAAACTGATTTTTGTATCATTATAAAATGTCCCTCTTTGTCATTAGTAATATATTTTGTCCTAAAGTCCATTTTGTTGGCTATTAGTACATACACTCCAGCTCTCTTTTGGTTAGTTGGCATGATATCTTTCTATACTTTTATTTTCAGTATATTTATGTCTTTGAATGTAAAGTTTGTCTCTTATAGACAGCTTAGCATTAAATCTTATTTTTTTATCCAATCTGACAATCTCTGACTTTTGATTGGAGTGTTTAATCCATTCACATTAAATATTATTATCAATATGATTGGATTTACATCTGCCAATTCGCTATTTGTTTTCTGTATTACTTATCTATTTTTTTGTTCTTCTGTTCTTCCTCTACTGCCTTCTTTTGTATTATGTAGGTATTTTATGGTATGTCATTTTAATTTTTTCATTTTTTTACTTTAAAAATAATATTTTTAGTGGTTGATTTAGGGATTACAGTATTCATGTTATCACAATCAATTTCAGATGAAATTCCACTAGAATATAGAAACTTTGCTATTTGCACTATTGTCATAGGTATTACATATATATTATAAACTCAACAATTGTGTTATAATTATTGCTTTATATAATGGTATATCTTTTAAAGAATTTAGGAAGAGAAAAGTATATTTAGAGAGTATTTTTTTTTACTGGAAATGTACCATTTCCAGTACTTCATTTCTGTCTGTGATTTGTTACCATCTATGTAATTTCCTCCAATACAGTTCCATTTTCCCCACCCTCTGCTATTATCGTATATCTTACATACAATAGTTCTGCTTTCATCCATGGTTTCTCTATATCTGCTTTCAGTTATCGGCAGTCAACCATGGTCCGAAAATATTAAATGAAAAATTCCAGAAATAAACAATTCGTTAAGTTTCAAATTGTGCACTGTTCTGAGTAGTATAATGAAATCTTGTGCTGTTTCACTCTGTCCTGTCCAGGATGTAAATCATCCCTTTGTCCAGCATATCCATGCTGTATATGCTGTTTGTCACCTAGCAGCTGTCTTGACTATTAGATTGACTGTCATGGTATTGCAGTGCTTGAGTTCAAGTGACTCTTATTCTTCTTAATAATGTCCCCAAAGTGCAATTTGGATATGCTAATGAGAAGCTGTAAAGTGCTTTCTTTAAGTGAAAAGGTATGTATGTATAGGAAAAAAACATAGTATACATAGGGTTCTGTGGAGCGTAGTTGTCGGTTGCAGTAATTATTGATGACAGTGTCCAGGGCCAAGGTGATAGCACTGGATTAGCTTTATATGTCTGAATAATTTTAAAGATGGAGCTGACAGCTTATGTCTTGAATGTGGGATATAAGGAAAAGAATCAAAGATAATGGCCAAGATTTTTTGGCCTGAGCTAAAGAATTGAGTTAACATTAAGAGATGGAAAAGGCTGTGAGTGTAGTCAATCTGGAAGACTAGCAGTTCAGTTTGGGACAGGTAAATTTGAGATCTCATGAGACTTCCAAGTGGAAACATTTAAAACATTTAAAGGTCCTTGGGCATAATATATTTACTCTTTTAAGCTTTATCTGTAAAATTTGCTGGCTCTCCCAAAGACTATTTCCACCTCAGAAAAGTTATTTAGAAAAAATAGTTCTAAGACAAACTATTATTCATATGTAAATATTATGAAATTTAATCCACCTTCCTCGTTGATAAAGTGGTAACATAGTTTGAATGCTTATTGAGAGAAGCATCATAGCCTAAGTGTATGGATTCTAGAGCCAGTTTCCTTGAATTTAAATCCTTGTGCTTATTGACTGTGTGATTTTGGGTATATTTCTTCACCTCTCTGTGCCTCAACTGTGTCATCTATATGATGATGCAAATAATGCCTACTTAAAAGAGATTAAATTAGCTTATATTTGTAGTGGTTTTAAAACAGTGCCTGATTCATAGCGCTAAATATGATAGAAATTCTTTCAGATAGTTTGCTCAAAGTCTGTTTTGTATTTAACTTTTGAGCATACACATAAAGCTCTCACTAGACTGTACTGTCTCTTTATAAAAGGTTGTTTCATATAAAGCCATGCATCTGAAAAGATGTCCTGATGAAAATTGCAACTCTCCCAGAAAGGAATCTGCTTAAGACTATAATCTATAAAAGCTGTTATATTTCTGGTTGGCTTACTCTAGGTCTCAGATCTTAACTGAAATTATTAATTGGTTCTATCTATAATATAACCTAAGGGTTCTTAAAATTTGGGTCTTATAAAAGTAATTTTTAAAATAGTGCCTAACTCATTCTGTGGACTTAAAGTACAGTCTGACTGTAATTGCTTACATTGTTAAAGTAAAAGTGCTTATCAAACAGCTTTCTGAAGAGGCTTTACGCTTTTTTCGCATGTTCTGCAAATAGTCTGTGAAAATTGCTTTTTATGGGAAATAGCTTCTTTTTGTTTGGTGCTGCATCTCCATTTTTTCTGTGCATCCTGCTCAACTGCCTCAGTCTTGTCTTTGACCATGATGAAATGAGAGCTTAAACTTTTTTTGACAATTTCCATTTTGACTCCAAACCGAAAATAGATATATTGTATAGGAACACCCTTAGTCTATGTGGGTTGGGTGGGACTGACTCTACTCCTCTTGTGACACAGTCTTGGACAATCAGGGCTTGTCTTGGGACTTCTGCTGGAACCAATGGGGAAGAGGGCTCTCATTATTAGGACTCCTAGCTTTAGAGATACTTGTGGTCATCTCTGCTATTATATAAAGAAAGCTCGCTAAAAAATGAAGGTAGCACAGAGGAAAATAGTTTTAAGAGACAAAGAAAAATAGATTTTTAATTACATTTTTAACCCTTTCACCCATTTCTGAAGCTGAATGTCTCAGTTATGTAATCCAATGACCCTTCCTGTCACCTTTTAAAATCATGCTTTCACTCTATAAATGATTATCTAAATTATTGACTTATCTATGGTATAGTCTATATAAAGCTTTCAATTGCTGAACTTCTCTAGATATGGTAGCCAAGGTTTTACTCTTTATACATTTTAATTCCTAAATATTTCACAATCGCTGTTGTGTGTCACATACACGCACTTAGAAATATAAAACAAAAGAATGAATTAAAATTGAATAATTATAATTGGCAGTTTCAGAATAGATATCTAGTCAAAAAAATCCAATGGGTAAATAAATGATTGCAGAGAAAAAGAAAACAACTTACATTCAGCAAGACAAGCATTCTACTTGACAAATGCTTTTATATTAGAAAGTACCAAATTTATTACAGGTTCACAGTCCCTTTCTCTGAAATCCATGAGGCCAGATAGATTTTTAAAGCCAAAATTCCTCAGCTCCACTAAGCTCCCTTTTTTTGGTCTGGTCATTTGGGTCCCTATTGTGTTGGAGGCTTTTCTTCAAATATTTGTTGATGTTGATCTGTCTGTTCATATTTGAATGTATTCATATAAACTTTTCTATATTTTATGGCAATTTTTTTCTCCAATTATTTTTTGTTTTAAATTTGGTGAATTAATGGGTAGAACATAGAAACTAGAGTCCAACACTCAATCATTTGTCTGGTTTCCTCACTGAAATCTAAAAAATTCTTTGCTGGTGAGTGGTTAACACTTTCACTGCTTTTGTAGTTTTCAAAGTGGAAATACTTTTCTTGCTTTTAGTAATTAAAAAATAAATAAAAGTTCTTTTTAAGAGCATTCAAACAGTATAAAAATATACAAAGTAGAAAATAAAAGGCTCCACAATCCCATTCCCCTATAACTACCTGCAGAAGGTATGGGAAAATTTAGTCATAAATAAAGACATATAATACACGAAAAAATGAGGCAATTATTAACTCTAGGAAAAATGTAATCACAGCACAATTGTTAATTCAGAAGTGAACAGTATTTACATGGTCATAAAATAAAAACAATAAGTATGGATTTAACTAAAAGTTTTAACATAGCCATATTGAGAAGATGGAGAAGGGCAGTGGGGAGAATAGGAGACTGAAAAATCCTTCTTTGTCCCTTTATGAATTAAGTGGTAAAAAATATATGTATTTTATTTAGCAAAATGTATGTACATAGGAAAGAAGTTAGCTGGTTCTGGGGAATGTAACTTGGTGCCAAAGGCAGGGCAAATTAATGCTGTTTGGTTTTAAGCTTTTTAGAGCTACTTTACTTATATTTTATGGGAAATTGCAATGTATCTAGATTGGGATAAAGAGAAATAAGGTGACAAAACATCCATATTTAAAACCAAATCTCTTGAAAAATTAACATCTAACAAATCATTCAACTTTTTCAGTCTTTATCTAAAGTTTTTGCTTTAAAGATGAAATTTATTTTAAAAGTCCTTTTGTAAACCAATCAGACATGAATAAACTTTTTTCTTGGGATGATAATAGCATTACTATGATTGTATCTTTTTTTATTCAAATAAACTGTTTTCAAGATTAACAGTTATTAGAAAATTTTGATTTTTATTACTCTGCTAAGGCAAAATAGAAACATGATACTTTAGAGCTTCTTTTCAATTTCCTCTGAACTATTTTATAGTAAAAAATTATTTGGTACTAAGTATTCTTATGCCCAAATTCTAAAAGTAATCTTTAGTTCCAACTAAACTTGATACTCCAAAATAAAAAAAGTTTTTAATGATATTTACATAATAAATATAATTTTAATCGCTAAGTTCTTCGTCATCACTGAAATATGTGCTTTTCTTTATCCTTGGGCGTCTTGAATCATCTGATGTCGAGGGACCCCCTGAACTTGGTTTCCATTTTTTTTGTTCTTCTTCAATTTTGGCTTGCTGTAATGTGAGTCAGAAAACAAAACAAAACCAGGAAGCTGTTTAATATTATTTATGGCATATTAATTTAAAACAATGCAAAAACACACACGTGTCAATGCTCCGTACACTCGCAGCCTGTGTAAACAATTCTACTCCATCAGGATATTCCTCCTTCACTCCTGAGTTATTACCCAGTCTCACCATGTTACTCGAAATTATTATAGGAAATTTCTATTAATTAACAGGCACATAAAATGAGGCCTACTTTCCATCCATGCTGGAGGTGGGAATGTTACCTAAAATATATTAGTTACCTAACATGAAAAATAAATTGATGTATGTATATACCAACTACATTAAAATAAAATATCTGGTTATATAAAAATTAAGAGATAAAAAAAAGTTTCATATATTTGTATTAAGGCCTTTAACAGTCAAATATATGTTTTTGGTTTTGTTTTGAAGTAAGGCTTCTTTTAAAACAATGTCTTTGATTTAATAAAATTTTTTCTATTGGGCTAAACTTATTTTTATCAAATAGTTCTGTTCAATTCTATAATGAAAAAAAATTAAGACATTAAACATGTTGTGGGGCCCTTAAAATCTAGAAAGAACTAATGAGAACTTTTCTATCATACTGCTCCAAAGACCTTAGAGATATAGCCTGTCTCCTAAAGTTTAGGAGATGAAGGGGAAAGACAGGTTGCCACGATGATCAATAAAGTAAGCAAGGAATATAAAACTAATAACCCAAGGCATCTATGGCATGGTGCCTTTTAAAAGAACTATTTAGTACCTGGAAAGCTATGGCCTGACTGAGGCTGTCAAGAGCCGGATCTTCCCCTTCATCATCACTTTCTTCTACTTCCTCACTAAATTAAAACAAAAACAAAAACAAAAAAACATAACATCCTTAACCAGCAGTAAAAAGACAGAAGCAACACAATAATGTATTTAGTAAGACTGGATATACATACATTTCTTCTTCTGGTTCAGGAATTTTCTTTTTTTTCTTTTTCTCTTTCTTCTTAGGAGGTTCACGTTCTCCAAGCATATTTTTAGGACAGGCATAACTTAAGTGTCCACTTTCCTTTTGTTTCCCATTGAAAAGGAAAGGAAAAAAGTACTATATTTATTAACAGAAACTTGCCTGGTACCCTAAGACTAAAATTTTAGGAAGAAAATATATTATCACACTGGGAACATACATGAAGAAATGAACAAACTCATTACTTTATTATTCAGAAGGAGAAGATTAGAGACTAGAACTCCTAATAAGCTGTTTTAACAATAAGGGAGTATTTTAGTAGCTCACTTATAAAAGAAGTAAAAGAAGTATTCCTTCACACATTTTAAATCTCAAGATTCAAGATATAAAACAATTCAAAATTTAAATGGATTATCTACCTTAAATATAAAAATTTTAACTTATTATTTGATAAAATTAGGACAAAACTATTTATAACTTCCAAGATGTTGCTTAATATTGTTTTAAAATCAAATGGAAAATTTTAAGTTTTCCTCACTTTTCCTATTAATTTCATTTTGTTCCTTTCATATCTAGATTATACCTGCACTGTCCAATTGTGGTAGCCAATAGCCCTAATTCTCTTGTGGTTACTGAGATCTGTTTGAGTTGATATGCACTGTAAGGGTAAAATACACACTGGGTTTTGAATATGAAAAAAGAATGTAAAATATCTTAATTTTTAAAAATATTAATTACATAGTTCAAGTGATAATATTTTAGATGTAAGGTTCAATAAAAGATATTAAATTTTACCTGTTTCTTTTTTTAATGTGGCCACTAGAAACTTTAAAATTACATTTGTGGCTTGTATTATATTTATATTTGACAGTGCCAAAAAATTATAATGAGCTAGAACACTGAGTTGTAAACATAAAACAATGAACTATATGAACTATAATCTGTACGTTAGCTCACTAAAATATATTTAAGAAGTAATATGTGAGAGTAATGGTGTAAGGAGAGATTCAGTCAGGATTAGAATAATGGAAAAGAAAAATAATCATGCTTTTCAAGTATATTTAAACAAAGCACCTAATGAGACTGTTTACTTTGTATACCTGGGGACATGGCTGAACCCAAGAGGTGTTATTGTTAATGAACTGCTGACAGAATGTATTTAGAGAAGCATTTTCCAAACTGCTTTTGAAAAAGAAGTATACCAAAAAATAAACATGTCCCATATTTTTTAAAAAAAGGATTTAATTGTGAAATAACTCTGAGAAAAACCAGGCTAAATAAATGTAAACGGATTTTTTGGTGGGGAAATTTTTTAAGAAATATAAAAATGTACAAAGTATAATATAACAAATCTATGGAACCATAAACCAAAAAGATAGATTAACAGATTCATCTAGGATTTCTCAGATTATTTAATATTTACTGTGAATATGAGGATATATACTAACCTATCTGACTATAACTGCTCATCCCTCCCTTCCTTTCTTTTCTTTATTTCCTCCTATTTTAATAAAATTCAGGACTCTGGAACACAGTTTCTGAAACATTAATTTAAGAGGTAACAGAATCTCAGGAATTGACAGAATGTACCCAAGGGCCTTCTTTCCTCCCTCCCTTTTTTAAATCTATTTTTGTGGCGGGGGAGAAGGGGAGTTATTAGGGAATGGCAGAGGGGAAAGGACCCTAATCCATTTTCTTGTATCTTCTGCATGATTTTATAGCCAGGGCAATGTCTCTCAGTAATCTTCTCCCAGCTCTCCATTAATAGCTCTAGACCCTGTTTTTTTTAAGTATTTTATATATACATGTGGATGAAAAAAGGGATTGTATGGAAAGTAGCCTCACAGGGTTATCTGATCATAAATTCCTAACTAGACAGGTCATGGGGGTAGTTACGCCCCAGGCACATAACTTCTTTAGTAAAAGGTTATGTTTGTCTTAAGCAAGCTGTGTTCATTGTTTCCGTGTCTAGGTTAATACACCTTTGAAATGCCTCTTTTCAGACTTTTTTTTCTAGTACATGACCACCCATTTGGACCCCTTATCTAAAGTATAAAAATACATAATCTCAACTGTTCTGTATTCCAATTCCCCCCTACCCCTTGCTTTCTCTCACCTTCATGTAATCTTCCCTACATTCCCTCCTTAATTTCAAATGCATAAAAGAAACTGCAAAACTTACTCTCCAGAGCATTTGAGATCTTGCTCCCCAGCATGTCCTCAGTTTGGTTCAGATAAACTCTTATAAAAATTCTCAACGTTTCTTACATTGACAACATTTTGGGAACGGACAGCAATGAGACCCAGACTGAAATTCTCTTGGCATCATATGGGCCTTGTGCAAAATTATTCTGTGGCTACATATCACCAAAAGTTCGAATGGGTAACAATAGATGATAACTAGATAAAATTTGGGGATAGTTTAGTTACAAAACATTATTAATACTAATGGTAAAAAAACAACCAAAAACTTTTAAAACATAATATTCCATAGAGGATAGGTCATATGATGTTTACACTGAACTGTGATGCTTAAACACTGGCAAAATATTATAGAAACAGGCAATATCCTATTAACACAAATATTTATGAGTCATCGAAATCTTTCAAGACAATAATATTAGTCAACACTCTTTAATCTAACAATTTTCAGAGATTTAGAAACTAGAGAAAATACTACTCTTATATTACCCAACTCAGTTTATCTTTATATACATTTCAATTGAGTTTACTTAGATGAGTCTAGAGTCCCAAAGTAAAACAACTTTCATAACCTGGTTTTAGCCAGCCAGGAGATTTGGAGAGCACAAATAAAACACTGATGTGAAAAATACCTTAAAGTAAACTGTGACAGTTATATTAAGTTTTAGGTATACTTACCCCACATTCATAACACTTAGACTTATCAAAGTAGTTTCGTCTTCGGATGAACTCAGCTGCTCTTCCATTGTCAATAGCAATGCTTGCTTTTATCACTCTACCAAATAGCTAAACCAGAGTAAAATGTAAATACAGTTATTTGATTGTATTTCCTCAAACCTTCAATTCCATTTTATTTTTTTAGATTATTTTAGCGATTGCCTACTTAGATGTGACAAATTCTATCCTGTAAAATAGATTCTTATTCCTTAGATTCTACAAATGTTTTGGGAACCCAGTACGACTTTGACCTCTTTTCTTTTTCCTGAGTTAAATACCCTCAGAATCTACTGATATCCATCCCCTACCTCTCCACATTTTTTGCATGGATAAGCATAAAGGCTTTTGGGTTAAAAACCTTGTTAGGAATGAATGGCTTACCTGTTTGTTGTTTATTGCTCTGGTACAGTTTTGTGCAGAGTCTTTATCCAAAAATAAAATAAATGCAACCCCTTTACTCTTCCTGGTATCTTTATCTTTCATTATAGTAACCCTTAAAGCAGAAACAAATAGTTCAAAATAATGAGGCAGCAATAAATGAAACAGATATTAATAATAATTTGGAAAATCTAAATGTTCAAAAAGGATTAATAAAACATTTGCAGTAAGATAATTTAATATATTTGACATGTACCTATCTCTTTAAAGTCATGGGATATCAAGAATGGAAATGAGAAAGTGTGATACTGATTTAACAATAGTGAACACAGGTACAATTAGAAAGATGTGATAAATCAAACGTTAATAAGAGGATGAAAGATGAAGGGATTACAGAGACAAGGAATCTTGAAGAGTAAGCATAATTCCTTTTCCCTACTAATTCTCACTCTGCAGAAAAACAAAACTAAGGTATTCTCTTCTACACAAAAAGTTAAATCACTTACTTTTTTCTAGGTTTTAGAATCTAAGTATATTCTTGATATTCTTTTAAAGAATCTCCAGGTCTGTGGTTCTTAGTCATATCACTCAAGGTACCTAAGTGATAGGGATGGTGATAAGAACACAGAGCCTGCCCTTTCTCCTGACTCCTTAAACATCCCTCCTGTCTTCTGGCCTTTGCTCATAATTTGTCATTAAATATAGTTTGAAAAATAATGTTTAACAGGGCTCTTTGGAGAAATGGCTGATTCCAAGGTTGGACAGGGTAGGTACAAGGTGAAGTGGAAATAATTTCTCCTCCTTTCTCCGAGTCTCTATTGAAATCTACTTATGAATAAACAATGCCTCATTACATACGTTTTAATATAAACCCCTTTAAGAGTGTCTCTGTAACCTCTATTAAGCCTAGCTCAATATGTTTAAAAAAAAAAAAAAAGAGATGCAAATGGGAAAGTAATTTCTCAAAAGAGTGCATCTATTTGTTTATTCATGTGGTCATTCACTCACTAATAATATAAAGGCAGTAGGACAATGTCACTGCCTCATTTAAAATTCTTTAATGGATTCCCCGTGTTCTTACGATGAAAACCAAGTATCTTGTCACATGGCCAAGAAGCAAGATTAGGAACCTGCTTCCATCTCTGGACCCATTTTGGACTTTCTCCCTCTTGTTCACTTATCTCTAGTCATATTGGCCTGTTTCATGATCTCATTTTATTTTCTCTTACCACGGGGCCTTTGCACAAGCTATTTCCTGTACCTGAAATGTTCCTCTCATTCTTTTTGCCTAATTAACTCTTACTCCAACTTTAGGTTTCAACAAAGGACTTAGGTAAATCTACCCTGACTTTCTAAACTAGGTCAGGTCTTCCCTGTTTTTAAGTACTAATAACTCTGTCTTTAATGTCATAGCATTCTCATGGTTTATAATTATATTTGTATGGAAATTCATTCAGAGATTCTGATGGGGAAAAAAAACAAGAAAAGGTGATATGGTTATGGGAGTAGGCTCTGGAATCAAACTATTGGATTTAAATACTGCCTCCACCACTAACTGGCAATAAAATTTTAGGCTAACCATGTGTTTCAGTTTGGTCACTTAACTTACTGTTATTTTTTTTAATAATTATTTTTATGTATTATGGTGACATTAACAATCTAATGTTTCGAGTGTACAATTCAACTGTACACTCATATATATACACTGCATTGTGAGTTTTGTCATTTATAATATTAGAATAATAATATTTACCTTATTAGGTACTTGTCAGAATTTAATGATATAATATAGGTAAAGGTATTAGAACAGTGACTAGCACATTTCTGTGCCCCTTGTTACATATCATCATTATTAGTATCTTGATTGATAATGACAACTGTTTGATATTCTGAAGACCCAAAAATTTACCTATAAGCATTTTTGATGATTTTTAATAAAGAAGTAAGTTTAAAACAAGTTAACCTTAGGATGCGAATGAACCTCGTGTTTAACATCCATTTATCAAAAGCTAGAAGAAAAAATAATTAAGATACATGTCTTCTAAATTCTTAGAATTTCAAATATGATTTAAAATTTATACCAGAATATATATTGATTATAAGATAGTTAGAATGACAGTATCTTGCTTTTACTTCTTTGCCCTATATATGGTTACTTGGTTGATTTAGATTAGTGGATTAAATATAAGAACCTCAGGTTCCCTTTATCCTTTCTTTACTCTCAGTCTCAATTGATATTATCATCTCTACCATTTCTGTATGATTCTAGTCTTTCCAATAATATCAAAACTTTCTATGAAGGCAGAGAATATGTTTTCTATATATTTATCAGTCTCATAAGACACTCTGCATGCCATATGAAGTGTTACAATTTACATTCTAATGATATTCTAAATATTATTTACATTTGTTTGACCAATGATAATTCACTTACAGTATAATTGATAGCATATCTTGTAGTAACCAACATACATAACTTATATATTATATTGGATAACAGAATCAGTTTTAGTTCTCAATAATGTGGTAAGAAATTGCATTGTTTGAATACATAATGGCATATAAATGAATACCATGAAATAATTAAATATGAGGATGTATCTTTATAGTACAAGGAATGATATTTATATGTCAAGTTAAAAAAAGACAATAAAATTGCATGCATATTGAACTGAGTCTTTAAAAAAATTGTCTATACATGTTTATATGCATAGAAAAGTGACTGAAATATACATAAAAATGTTAACAGGAGTATTTTTATTTTCTTTGTCATATCAAATATTTATTTTATAAAAAATAGTAATTCTACTTCCATTAAAAAATAATAGAGAATTAAGATAAACTAAATTAAAGTTTCAAAATTTGATGTGGATACTTACTTTACAACTTTGCCATACTTGGAAAATATCTGAAACAAAATACCAGATAGTAATTTACAATTTAGTTTAAAATCATAAAAAATTAAAATTTCAGGTTGTATATACTCACCATATTGTTAGTTTATGAAAAATTTTAGCCTTAAGTCTATAAGGCATGCCCTAGAAGATATATTTTTTTTTAGTGACTATTCTTTTTTTGTTGTTATTGGAATCAGAGTATCTGCCTCAGTTCTTAAATTGCATAACATGCACATACACACTTCATGTGTGGTAGATCAAAGGGACACGCACTGCACAACTGCTGTGCTCCTATGGTATATTCATGGCAACTATCGACCTCGTCATAGCTCCAGCACAGCAAAACCTTGTGCTTCGAATATCACTATTTCTAGCTTACCTCCCACCCCATCAAGCAATCACTGTCTCATGAAGACAGATCATTAGACTGCTTATAAAACAAATAAATAACTTCTATAATGAAAAACCCATTCCCATCAGTTTCCTTCTTCTGCCTACCCTTAATATGTTAGTGGAACTTTATAGTGGGCCCTTTCTTCTCTTTTACCACTGCACTGTCAATCTCATCTACTTCCATTTCAACCACTACCTAAATACCAATAGTTCCTATTTATTATATAATGCTTCTTAGAAAAGTCTTTAGAATACATTAATATATGCAATATATACAATAATAAATTTTGAGTTCTTTGATTAACTTGTATAATGCTGGAATGTAGTATAACTAGATCGCAGTGTTAGCCACACTGAATTCTGAAAATCAGTAACAGACTGCTTTCCATGTAACATTTTCTAAGGGCTTCTCATTTCACTCAGTCCTTACCATTACCCATGTAGGCCCTATAAGGTACCCCTGCATGGGTTTACCTCTGACTACCCTGCCTCTTCTCTCCACTTGATTTACTCTGTGTCTAAAATGCTTGTCTCTTAGACATCTGCGCAGCTATCTTACTTCCTTCGGGTCTTTCTTCCAAAGTCACCTTCTCAATAAGGCTTTAGACCACCATGTAAAATTTTACCTCCATTCTCAACCTATCATTTAATAACTCTCCTTTCCTGCTTTGTTTTTCTTCCTTAGCACCTAACATCTTAACATTAACTGAGTATCTAACAAATAACATCATTTGACTTTTATATAGTTCACATTATTTCTCTATCTTGCTTATCGTGAGTGCCAAAGATTTTAATCTTTTTGTTCACTGATGAGTTCCTAGTACCTGTAAGAGTGCTCAGGATACAGTAAGTGTTCAAAAAATACAGAAATGTCTATTTTGTAACAAGGAAGGAAACTAAAGTTCATTTTCTCCTGTTCTTTGAGACTCAATCTCTCTTAATTAATCAAGTACTATGGATCAACTATGCAGCATCTCTCTACTTAACATCTACCTAAAGATGTCGGCAGAGAGAAGAGGACACACTTTGAAGAAAGGATTCATGTCATTCTTTCCAGTTCCTCTCAAACTCCAATCTGCAGGACAGACTTTACAGGAATTTTTGTTCTAAGGTGAAGAAGTGAAAAAAGATTTTGGAAGGGATTTTTTTCCTTCTCAATCACACTTGTCCCAAATTGAAAACAAAATTTATTAAACTGTTAAGTTTCTGCCACATATGGAAATTAAGATACACTTTCAAAATCTGAGGGTTGGGAAAAGGATGTTTGCTTTCATCATCTCTTTCCTCCAAAACCTCCACCCCACTACGAATTTTAAAAGTAAGCAATCAGGAAAAATCAACCTATCACAAGTTGCTCCCACTCTATTAAGTTAGCTGTGTCTTCTGTGTTTATAAAGAACTTGTTATCCTCTAAAAGCACTGCAGATTTTCTCTGGAAATTATGAGTATATAATTTTTTTTCACTTACTCCTGATTGCAATATAGGTGTTTCGTATTAACAGTTTAAGTGCTTTGGAATATACTTATTAAGAATTTTTGCCAAGGAGAACTGTATGCTTAAATTATATGTTTCTCAAATAGAGATTTCAGAAGATAACAGTACTTAGACTAAAACTTACTTACCCGGTATAAGTCATTGTTGGTCAGAGAAAAGGGTAAGTTGGATACATACACTGTGCTTTTACTTGGGGCCAATCCACCACTCATTTCTAAAAAAGAAAAAACAGACCCAGTAGCAATCTAAGCCAGGTATTCTTCATTTCAAATAAAATCAATACAGGCAGTCACCGTTCTAATTATGCCAGATTCACACACCTTCCTCACTTCTTACTAGTAGTTAAGAACAAGGATTCCAGCTGGGTTAATTAAGAAATTCCTTTTTTCCAGACACCAATTAAAAGAATTTTCTGGTCCTTTCATGTGGATTCTTCACTCTAACCTTTTCAGTGCTGATCTATGGCATGAATAGAGGGATGAGATTTAAACGGATGAAGACTCCGAGGTTACTCTTAACCTCTAAGGCTAAGAGCAGGAAAGTGCTTTCAAATATGCATAATACCTTGCCTATACACATCAGAAAGAGCCTGGAACCTCAGAAAGAACCTTAGCCATGATTTTCACTAATACGATGGTTGGGTAACTTTTTGGTTGTCTTTATATTTTTCTCTGGCGTGGTGTTAAGAGGAAACTTTAGCCCCGCATTTTGATTTACATATAGTTCTTTCAAATCACTAATTTTGCAGATTATTCCTAATTTATGAAATTATACATTTTGTTATATGAATAGGTTTCAATGCTTTGAAGGATACTGACCTGTATATTTAAGTTTACAAATATAATCCGTAATTTTCATACCTAATTATACAAAGTCAGAAAATTATCTTAAAGTTATATCTGGTTCAACCAAATTCAAAGTTTCGATTTAAAAAGCGTGTGTGATATTATTTAAGATAGGGGTACAGTCTATCACAAAAGGCAAAATATTGAGTCTAAGGCGTGCCAATTCGCGAAGTAATGCGAAAACTGCTTGATACATGGGATGCTTTTGGGGAATTAGACAACTTCAGAAACTCAACATTGATAGGTCGTTTTTGAAATTTTCCCATTTGAAATTCTACACGTTAGCCCTTTTAGGAAGAACTGCGAGGGCAGCCAACGGCAAAGGTGCTGGAATAAAAAGGGTGGCACGAGAAAGGACACATCGTTTCGGGGGCCCGCAGGAGGAAAGGCCGCAGCTGAGGAGCCGTTTACCTTCAGGTGGGGCGAGCCCGGGAGATCAGAAGAGCGTGAACCCTCCGCTCCGTTGGGACTCAACCCCGACTATTCCTCGCCCCTGGCATCGGCCTTGGCATCACGGGTACTGGGAGGGGTCATGCGCCGCAGACGAAATGGTAGCATACCGCTTCCCGGCTCTCGTTAGACCCAGGGCCCGGAGGCGGGCCCAGAGGCGGGCGCTTTTGCTGACGTCTTTTCGTGCGCCGGAAGTGCCTGCCCGGAGAACGGCGACGAGCGGATTATCACTTTTACGGAGTCTCCCCATAATCTAGAGTTGGTGAGCGCGTTTTACCTTTGCGACAGGTTGTCGGTGACAGGCGTGAGGGGAGACTAGTGGGGGTGGCGGTGGGCAGGCGGCGCCTTCCGCGGTGGGACCTGGAGTCTCCCGCTGTATTTGAATTGTGTAACAATTCTGCCCCTGCGGTTGAGGGCGGAGAGGTGCAGTAGAGTTTGGAATAAAGGAAAGTGTTAAGTCTGAGATCTAGGTTCACTTCTCTTTAGCGCCTTACTGTGCAAAAAGAAGCCTTAACTAGGTAACTTCAATGACCCCAGATTAGTTAGGAAGTCGGTAAATTCACAGAATGTGTTCGACGTAACCCAGTTCGGTTTTAGGCACTTTGAGAGTTACAAAAAAGTGTACAGCAGGCCTTTTTCCGGTGTATATCTTAATCTAGTTAGGGAGACTTGGATTCAGGAATGATTCATCTTAAGTATTGGTATGGACAAATGTTGAACTTCTTGGCACCCTTTTTCTTCCTGTAAATCTATAATGGGCACGCACTGCTTTTTTTCCCTTAAGAGGCTGTATACAGACAGGCCCATCATTCCTAAAGAAAAATCAGAAAATAATGCAAGGTAGTTTATACTTAACTTCTACCCACCAGCACATTACAGACCAGGCCTCTAACCACTCCAAGGGAGCCTGCGTGCCAGCGGCCTGGAACCCAGAGCCTATCCTGGAGCCTGCACAATCAATCCAGACTGAAGCTGATGATGTCTTCTAGAGAGATGGAAGTGCAATCCAGCCAGGGTGCAGCTGAATTTTGAGAGGCCTGAATGCCTCCACGTCCACAAGGGGACCGCTGGAACTAATTCAATTGGCAAACTTGTGGCGAGCCAAAACTACCATGCTACCTATCCCTGTTATCCTTGGTTACCGCCCAAGATGTAAGCCCCTTTGGTCTTCTATGCTTTACTCTTCCCCGTGCTGCTTTGTGCTTCCCTTTTCTGTGATCTAGGCTATCACTGCTTCTCCCTCCTTTTCTTCCATATTTCACCCTTCAACACAGTTGTGCTCTCCAAAACCTCTATTCCCTGCTTGACAAACTCTTACATAGTAATTCACCCAGTTTACTAAAATTGTCTTTCATCTCCTGACCTTAATACTTGGCTTTTCCCTCCAGCCGTTTCAATTGAGCCTCTCTCTGACACCTGTATTGAAGGTTAGGTGATGGCTGTAGCCATACTGAACTGATTTCACTTCCTCAAAATACTTTTGTCTCCCCTCAGGGTCTTTGCAAAGGTGCTTCTCTCTCTGTGGCTTTTGTTTTCCCTGACCTCCCCTATCTCTTTCTGGATCATTCCTGTGCCTGCTAAAGATCACTGTAGCTGTCAGTTTCTCCCAGGGATGTTCCCTGACTTCCCGTAGGCAGAGTTAGGCAACCTAGCCATGTGCTAAGTGCCCTCTATATCCCTCATCATAGCACTTATCACATGTATCTTAATTGCTTGTCTCTGCCTTTTCCGACGAAGCTGGACGAAGCTGGACGTAGGGGAGGGACCGTATTTGTTTTATTTATTTTTGTTGTTTATTTTTGTAACTCCAGTGCTTAATAGGCAGTCAGGTATTTCTTGAGTGATTGTAATGTTGTAGTTACAGTCTCAGAAGTTAGGCAGTTGAGTGTCATCTCCTGACTTTAAGATGTAAGAACCATTTGAAACGGTCAGCTACTAGTCATTTACAGCTCATTGTAGCTATGTGAGTATATGATCCCAGTACTGGCAGGGCATCCAGTTTTTTCAAGGAAAGTTGGAAATACAGTTTTTATTTTAAGTGATACCTTCTAGTTTTTAAGTTTTGCCAGAGTAATAAAATTTTATTAAAAAAAAACTTGGGCCAAACACAAGTTACATATGGTTTATCAGTCACCAGTTTGGAATCTTTTAAGTGTTTCAGGGTTTAGAAATGGGCTTTGTAGAGAATAGTAGATTTTGAACTGGGCCTTGATAGATGATTGGAAGTTGAATGAGAGAATGGAAAGAGATATTCTAGTTTGGGAAATAAGTCATACAACTCTGGGGTAGTTGTGTGTTACTTTGTGGCACAGTGAGAGGGCTGGTATGAATGATCCTTCTGGAGAAAACAGGAGGTTAAGTGAAATAATAGAGGGGGCATATGGAGGGCAGAGAAGTTTGGGTTTGTTATTCTCGATCAGGGAAACCAGATATAAACGATGTATTAGCAAAGTGAATTGAGTATCCTTTTTAAGGGTGAAATGGAGGGTAAAAAACTAGAAAGAGGCTGACCAATTAAGACCAACCTCCATCTAGATGTGAAATAAGATTTTGATTTGTAAATATCTATAATCAAACATCTGGTATTTTTGTCTACTTGTATAATTTTAGTTACTTGATCATTTACAATGGACAATCAAAAATCTACTATAAGTATTTAATGCAATGTGGGTCTTAGAAGTATTAAAAAGCATTGAAAATTCAAGTAACTTGTGAAACTAGTAGAGAATGCAGTACTTTCAGTGCTGATATGTGGTTCCTTATGAAGCGGTTAATGGTCTCCTTTGCTCTAACCTCTTTCTGTTCTAATCCATCTTGTTTACTGCCAGGATAATCTTCTGGAATGACATAGTGCACCTCACATCTTATTTCTAAACTTAAAAGCCTGTAGTGAGCGCCTCTAGCATTTTTTTTTTTTTGCTATGTTGTACCATTTAATGCTCTGGAATTTGTTCTCTCTGGTCTTACCTGTGTCATTTGTAAAGCAATGTGATATGTTGGAAAGGGCTTAGGATTTAAAGTCATGCAGGCCTTAGTCTGATTCCAGGCTCCATTTGGTTCTGGGATTTGAGTTTTTTAGAACCTCCATGTTTTATCTAGAGTGAGAGAGAGAATACTACTTTAGG